CCTGTGAACACTCCTTTAGCTGCTCATTTTCGTTTGAAACCTGTATGTGGTGAATTGGATGAAACCAAATCTGTTTGCATGCAAAAGGTGCCTTATTCAAATGCTATAGGAAGTCTAATGTATGCTATGATAGGCACTAGGCCTGATATTTCTCATGGAGTGAGTGTGGTGAGCAGATTTGTCTAAACCAAATAGAGAACATTGGAATGCAGTAAAATGGATCTTTAGATACTTAAATGGATCTTGTGATAATTGTTTAAATTTTACTGCTAATGATTCTAACCTGTTTGGTGTAAGAGGATACTGTGATGCAGACTATGCAGCTGATCTGGATAAGAGAAGATCAGTGACTGGCTATGTCTTTACTGTTGGAGGAAATGTGGTTAGCTGGAAATCAAATCTCCAGCATGTGGTGGCCCTCTCAACAACTGAATCAGAATGTATTGCACTGACTGAGGCAATCAAAGAAGCCTTATGGCTTAAAGGTATTGTATCAGAATTGGGACTTGGTAAGAATGTTCCCAAGGTTTTTTGTGACTCACAAAGTGCTATTCACTTATCCAAAAATAGTGCCTTTCATGAAAGGACCAAACACATAGATGTTAGGTTGCACTTTATTAGAGACATTATCTCTAATGAGCAGGTTGAGGTGGAGAAGGTCTCCACTTCATGGAACCCTGCTGACATTTTCACCAAGTCCATTCCTGCAAACAAGTTTAAGGATGCCTTAAGCTTGTTGAAGGTTCTGGGTCAATCTTGTTGAGAATATATGATCAAGGAGGCTATCTCCATTCACTGGTACTTGCATGCTACCTTATGAGAATAAGGTGGAGTTTGTTATATATGCATTGAGTATTCCCATAAGTAGCCTTATCGTATATTCTGTTATGCATATTAGTTAGGGGCATTTAAGTCTTTTTATGTTATAACATAATTGAAACGCTGCGTTCCTTTCTTTTATAATAGTTAATACACATGTGCAGCAATTTTTCATTCAGAATCGTTTTTTGCTCTCTCACTTTCACGATATTCATTTTCTTTGGTTCCCTTGTGAAGCTCTGCTAGGGTTTTTCAATCGAAACCCATTGTGACCAATTTGATCTTGCTTCTTGCTATTTTCTGGACTGGTTCTCTTCTGTTTGTTCTTGTGGCTGTGATTGCAGGTTCCAATCGACTGATTGGTGGTGTTCTTGAAGAGGACAGATTCAGGGTTGGTTCGGTCTAGGAGCTCCACGCGGTGCTAGAGGAGGATTCTCTTGTGTTGTGGATTCCTGGTAACCTGAGCATGTGCATGTGTGATTTGGTATACTGCTGTGTTTGTAATAGCATGACAGTGACTGATTTCTTGATTTGGTCCGTGTAATATTTGGGGCTTTAGGGTTTTCTGTGGGGCTTTGGTTATAAGCTGGAACTGAATATTGTGTATCCTGTTCTTTCTTGATTTACTTAGTGCAAGTGCCAGGGAGTGGTCTCCCTAATTGATCCTTGACGTAGGAAACTTGGTAACACAAGTTTCTGAACAAGTAAAAATCTTGTGTGTGATTTTCCTCTCCTTACTCCTCTTTTCTGTTTAAAGAAATAAAAGAAAACCAGAAATTTCTCCACCGTAATTTCAACACTAACTTTACTTCGATCAACTTCTAAAGAGAAAGAAGATTCAGTATATATGAAGAGGATTTAGTGTTTCTCACATTGTAAGATATAAATTTATCTCCAACACACACCTATATGAGTCAATGTGAAAAAAAAAGAATGAAAAAATATGAGCTCCATCCACTTTTATATGTGAATTGGAGATAAAATTTATCTCCTGTACAAATATGAGGCATTAAGAGCATTGTCATGTTCATTTTTTAATCTCAAGGAATCTACCCCTCTCTCTAAACTATCAAATGTTAACAGATCGGTTTAGTTCAGGTTTGAGGTAAAAAAAAAAAATCTAAACTAATCAAATTAAGTTGGGTTGAATTGGTTTAGTTTTTAATTCTTCAAACTAGTCCAACCAAAGCCAAGTTAGATTGTTTCTGGTCATCAAGTTAAAGTAAAAACATAAAACATTAAATTTTCATAAACTTTTATCCCCACCTATGATCAAGGTAAATTATTGATTTCTTACTTTTTTATGATCCAAAACACTAACCAAATAAATCCTAAACATTAATATTGAATATTTTTAACAATTATATCTTTTTATTATTATACTTTTACATCTTTCATTAATTTCTTTATCTAAAATATGATGACAATTGGTAATCGTTTGAATTCTAGATAGGAATATCGCAATGAATAAAGAAGAGTCCAAAGAATAGAAAAGGTCTAATTACTAAAGTTTAAAACGCACATGTTTAAAAAAAAAAATAGAAAAAGAAGTTGATCGGGTTTAAATTCGGATCTTGGATTGAAAAAATTATTAATTAAAAAATAGAACTAATAGTAATTAGTTTGAATCAGATTTAGTACCAAGTGAACCAATTATATAAACAATTCTAACCAATTTAATTGGTTTAGTTTGAATGATCAAGTTCATCAAGTCAATCTGATCCAATAATCACAAAATTAATGCGATGACAATCATGTTTAATAATTTTGTAAACCGAGTTATAGGATTAGGGACAGTGAATTATATTATTATGGTACTTATTGCTTGAAGCCTTAACAATTTAGGTTGATCGAATATTGGATCCTTGTTGGAACCGCCAAGCGTTCAATAAAACAGAGGAATACAAAGTGACAAAGATACCCGAAAAGATTGCATTTATTCTTGAACGTTTTAAAACACAAATCCGGTACTTAAGAAACATGTTTTTCCAAACCAAATCTAATAAACTAGAAAGTAGAAACCACTTACATCAAGGCTAGTTTAGGGTTAAAAACTGACCATGTTTTTTATTTTACAAGATGGTGCGAAGTAAGAGAGGAGTGAAATCATTTTACAATCATTGAAGGTAATATATAAGCCTTTTGAAAAAAAAAAAAAAAATCACATTTTATATCTTTTTGGCTCTTCTGCTGCTAACGGGAATGGTTTACACTGTCAGATGTCTTTAAGACAGATATAGACCCTTTGCAGCCAAAAATAACTGTTTTAGGAAACGTGAATCCTAAAGTTTTAATTAAAAAGCTTCTAAAAGTTGGAAAGTATGCAGAACTTTGAAGCTATTAAGGAGTTTAATTTAAGCAGAAAAGAAAGATGCAGTAAGAAAAGAGAAAGAAAAACACAACAATGGGTGTAAGCAAGAAGAATACTAGGGCCCAACAGTGCGAACTGGATATTATTTTAGTGATGAGAATATCATGGGATGCCATTTAATGTGAAATCTAGTGAACCGACCCATGTGGATTAAAATGGAAGAGAAACCCAACATCCAAAAACTTACTTATATCTTATTGTGTAACAGTGTTTTGTGAGGAAATCGGCGTGCTCCTTTTTTTAGGTTGTCTAGGCAAAAAAATTTGGCACTTACCTAACGGTAAACAACAATTATTACAGTCTAATTGGTTTGATTTTCTTTCATTAATTGGAACTAAAATAATGTCAACCCAGAAGCAGCAATCATAATAATTGAGGATGAGGTAAGCGTTCACTAAACTGTGCTACTACTATCTGGCTATATCGTCATCCAGAAGCAGCAATCATTTAAAAATTATCCACTACTAGTTTGTGGATAGCAATAAGTAATTGAGGAATCAAAATGGTCATACTGAGATGCCTTGCAAAGCATGATACTACTTTTGTATGTACGTGCCTATTATTTAGTTCACTTCCATCGGAATGGTTTAGATGGAGCCCATCATCATAACTGTTAATTAGAAAATTACTTTGTTGAATATTTCTTTGAGAGTATTAGTCACCTCTCTATCAACTAAACTTAATATTATAAAACAAATTATACTTGAAGATCTCTTATTGACTGCATCTGGAACTCCTTCCTTTTACTTAGTTGAATGCTAGCATGATCACAAGTCTAGCTTGCTTATAACAATACATTTCCTTCAAATGTTCTGGCAGTGGAGCAGCGGAGTCACCAAAATATTATTTCCTATATATTTATTCGTTATCACGGTATAAAACATGTTACTGGTGACCAAAAAAAAGATTGCCAATGACATTACAAATGTTCTGGCGATGTAAAAGTGAGAACTTCCATGGGTTCCTTACACATCACATTCAGTTTACAACTCTTGGCTTATCATAATCCGTATACCCAGCTAGTTCTACTAAACACTCTACATCAAATGCTGTTCGAATTGACTTTTATTAGTTCAGTTTAGCATTACATAAGGCTTGAAAATCTAACAGCCATTAACATCCAATTCTATTGGGTCGTCTTTAGTCTATATACCAGGAGAGATTCACCCAAAAGGAAAAAAAGAAAAGAAAGAATAATAAAAATAAAAAACTTTATGACCCAAGAAAAGTTGTGTTTGTGTTTCCACCTGCAAATGAGGCTGTAAGACAAGTACAACAAGAAGACAACTCACAACATGTTAACACGATTTTACAGAGAATCATATTACCCACCATGCTTTCTTATCTTTTCATGTAAACAAGAATTTATATGAATAATTTCGAGAATTTGAAAAAGATTACATTTCCAAGGAAATCTTCCTGTAATTCCACCGCTTGATTGAAAATCCAAGAGAGATTTTATTAACATTTTTATGTTTTCACAGTAAACAGCCTCCAAACCTATTTCTCGTTCATATCAGTAGTTGCTAACAATTAACAGTTTAATTAGTGCCAACTGAAAGGGGAATTAAACATGGAATATATTATGCATAATGTGGGATGAGGTAGGTTTGTTCTTTACCCGTAGGTGAGTATAATAGTTCATTGAATCATTGGTTTAGATGCTTCCATTTCATGTTTTAGAATAACAAAGGAAAGCAAAATCTTGTGGGGAAAAGCAATATTTGCTGTAGTTTAGAGCATTAGGCAGGTGCTAATCGTTTGAATATTCAAAAACTGAACTGAAACTGTTGATCTCTTCTTAATCAGGCAAGCATTGTTCATCTGGCTAATCAGTGAGCAGAGTGGTTTAAGTTATTATGATCTATAAAAGGGGGTTTCTTAAATGGAGGGTTTTATCATATAATGCTTTAAAATCTCATGTGTTTTAGACAATGTCTAATTTATTTCCTGTGCTTTTCTAAAGTCTAAACCCTAACTTCATCTGTCTAGAGGGAGAAAAAAAAAGAAAAGAAAGAAAGCTAAAAATCCAACAACAGAATCGTGGTCAGCTTAAGGCAAACCAACAAAGCACAATGTCAACATTAAGAGGAAAGAAAGGGGATTGATATTTTTCTCCCATGACACCGCAGAACCCGCTTGATACTCAAATCACACCACCTTGCATCAGCTTTCTCTTAAATAGGGTGTCCCAGTAAGATTGAACAATGAAGATAACAGAGCATCCACACACAAAATAAAAAATAATAACAAAAAAATGCAGCCATCATCCAGACAAATCAATACCAAAGAGCTTAAGCACAAACCACCAAAACCCAAACTCCAATAGTTAGTCAAATCAAACACATAACCTTCCCTTGCCACGCATCATAAGTGACTTTCTTAGCTGGAAGATATCCATCTCACACACACACACACACAATGAGTCATAATTAAAACAAATATGGATGAAACTGAAAACATTTACATGCAATGGAATTTTCCAGTGAACAAGAATGTGATAAATACAGACCAACTTGCCAGAAACAATCCAAGACTTGTATTTTTTTCACTAAATCCGAAGCGTCTTAGTTCTAAAACCCTGGATTATCTTTAGAGCTACCCATTAAGGTTAACGTTTTAACAATAAAACCAATAAGAGAAACAACAATAATAGACCACCTTAACTTGAGGACCCTACAGAAGTAAGTTCTAGGTGAAAACAATACCCAGTTTTTTTTGCACAAAGAGAAAAGCATCAGGGAGAGAGAGAGAGAGAGAAAGGAGTCACACCCTGAGAATCTGAAGCTTAGTGGAGAAAGCAATGGCAACCCAATCAGGCTGAGAAGAAGACCACTGAAGCTGTTCAATCTCAGCACCAGCAGTGTAAGCAAGAATCGGGTCCAACCCACCCTCAACGGGTTGACCCATAGAAGACAAGTCCCAAATCAAAGCCTGAGAATCATCACCAGCGGTGCAGATATGGCAAGAACTATGAGGGGCCCACGCGATTGCGTTCACACTCGCCTGGTGCCGCTGAAGCTCCACCACCGGAAGCGTGGGGAAGCGAATATCCAACACGACAACCTTAGCACTTTCCATTATAATAGTAGCCATGTAACGAGGGTCCTGTTTATTCCACCCGAGACGAACAAGCGGCGTGTCCGGTTCCGAGCTCTCGTAGATTATGGTCGAATGCTCCTTGTCACGGAGGTCGAAAACCCTAACGGAGCCGTCAGCGGAAACGGAAGCGAAAACCCCAACGCCGCCCCACGCGATGTCGTAAACCTCCTTGTCGTGCGCGATTAACTGCGTGTCGACGGTTTCCTTCTCGATGTCCCATATGGTGCACGTGGTGTCGATGCTTGACGTTCCGATGCGTTTCGGTTCGGCTTCGTTCCAGTCGAAGGATGTAAGAGGCCCGCAATACTCGCTGTTCTTGTTGCCGTTGAGAATGCTCTTGAGCTCAACCCGGGTTTGGGTCTCTTCCGGGTCGGATATCCGCCAGACCCGAAGGAAGTCGCTGGAGGTGGCCAATAGGTCCGGGCGCTGGCACTCTTTATCGGGGATGAACATGGCCTTCGTGGGAGGGTATGGGTGCTCGAAGGAAAGATTCGGGTCGGATCGGATCTCGCCGTTGGAGTCATCGAGTTGGACGATCTCGACCCGGTTCGGGTACTGCTCGAGAAGTGAAGCGATGGCCAAACGGTACTTCTTGTCGCGTCGTACGCTCCAGTTCATGGAGTAGATGTGCCATGGAGCCTCGTAGGTGTAGATCTCGGACCGCTTCTGTTGCTCGTCCGACCCGTCTTGGGTCGGGTCGCTGCTCGCGCCCATGAAGCTCTTAAACGGGTTTTTGTTTGAAGCTGCAAAGGGAGTGAAGAAAGAAGCAGAAGCAGCAAGCAACTGAACTCTCTCTTTTTCCACACTTGAGAGAGCCCAATCCTATAAGCCAAATATGCAACGCTTTCAGGGTCCCACTTCCTACTAAATGGGTCCCGTATTTGATTGTTAATGTTTTGTTTGAGCAAACACTTGTTCATTAGTACGATGACTCATTGACTCTTGTAACTATTATTTTTTTATCAATTAACGATAGTAAATTGTGTATTTTAAATGAGATAAACTTAGTTCATTTTAAGAGAGAGATAGATATAAAGAGATGAGATTCATACTTATATTTTTTTCTCTATTTTTTTTTTTAGTGAGACTCATACTTCTTTATGTCTATCTCTCTCTTAAAAGAAACTAAATTTATGTCCTTTAAAGAACACATATTTTTCCATATACATGTGAGTAGGGGTGTGTATGGGTCAGGTCGGGTCATGTTTTCGTGCCGACTCGATCCAATTTGGTTTTTATAGGTCAGGTATTTTGACCCGACCCGCTTTAATTTGATCCAAGTCAGGTATGACTTGGTTTGGATTTTTTTGAACTAGTTCAGAACCGCGTCGGATATGACCTGACTTGGTTTCTGAAATGGGTCTGACTTGGTTTCTGAAGTGGGTCAAATCGGACCTGACTTGTTTTTGACTTGGTTTCAAAACATGTTTTTAATTAGATTTTTTTATAGTTATTGATTTATTTTTCAAACTCATGTAATTTAATTATTTATTTGTTTTAAAATATATACATTTTATAATAAATTTGATATTTGTTGAATAAATAAAGGAGTAATTTTAAGCCCCCGCACATGTGAAGCAAAATTAGTGAAAATTAATAAAAAGTAAAAGATGAGAAAGCGTTCTTCCTATCTTAAGATGACACTAAGGGGGTGAAAAATTAAAAAATTAGAGTGATAAAGACTATTATAACCCTGAAATAAATTAAAATTACAAAAATACCATGACTTTCGTCCCAAAACGATGTCGTTTTGATGAACATTAGATAAAGTTATTTAAAGTAACATCAGAAAAAACAAACCCTAAAAGGGAAAAAAAGTTTCGATGAACATTAGATAAAGTTATCTAAAGTAACATCAGAAACTTTTTTCCCTTTTAACAATACTAAAAAAGATCATATTTTTTATGAAATTTCTACATTGCAAACGACGAAAATTTCGTCACAAAATTATTTTTTCGTCGGAATACTTTTTTTTGAAAAGCAACATAATTTTTTCTCTAATGAAAACTTTTACAAAAATAAATTTTCAATCGAAATTTTCGATGAAATTTAGTTTCTGACAAAAGTTTTGACGAAAATGATTTCCTCCATCAAATGTTTTAACCCCCAAGGGTAGCTCAGTTGGCAGCTAAGCTCCCAAGGGATTGCTTGGTGCAGGGATCAAGCCCTGCCTCAAGCAGTTTCTTGGAAAATCTTTGGGGGCCAGAGGATAAGTCAAAAATCTTCAGTTGGGGGATTAGTCTCGTCCTTTCTCCGGTTGCGAAGCTTTAGTGCACCCACTGTTACAATGAGGGGCTAGCCCAAACGGGCCGTACCCCGAGGGCATGGTGCCCGGAGAAGGTTGAATGGTGATACCTCCTCGCAATGTACCAAAAAAAAAAAAATTCGTCAAAAATTTTGATGGAATGTTTTTCGTTCAAAATTTCGATGGGAATGTGTTCTGACGAAAATTTCGACGGAAATTATTTTGAGGGAAATGTTTCATTCGAAAATTTCGACGAAATTTAGATTCTCTAAACAATTTTGACAGAATATTTTTTCCGTCAAAATTTCTTATCGAAATATTTTTTTGTCAAAAATTTTTACGAAAATTTTTGACAGAAATGTGTTCCGTTGAAAATTTTGATGGAAATGTTTTTTATAAAAAAACTTGACGAAAATACTTAGTCGAAAATTTTCGATGGAAATATGTTGCGCTAAAAATTTTGACGAAAATATTTTCGTCGAAAACTTTCGCCAAAATTTGAATTCTGTAAAGAATTTTGATGAAATTTTTTTCTGTAAAAATATTTCGATGGAAATGTGTTTCGTCGAAATTTTTTATGAATGTTTTTTTGTGAAATATTTTGACGAAATTTAGATTCCGTAAAAAAATTTGACAAAAAAATTTTTCCATTAATTTTTTTTACAGAAATGTTTTTTGACACTAATTTTGAAGAAAATATTTTTCGTCGAAAAATTTGGATGAAAATATTTTTCGTAAAAAATTTTGACGTAATTGGTTTACGTTAAAACTTTTCTTTTAACGTAATTGTGATTTTCTTTTTCTTTTTTTTTCACATAATGAGTATCGGTCAAGTTTTGGGTCAATGGGTCGTTATGAAAACAAGTCAGGTCAAAAACTGACCCAAATAAAAGTGGGTCAATATTTAAAACCAGTTCAAAAAAAATAGCTATTTATGGGTCAGATCAAGGGCAGGGCAAGTGAACCAGTTTTTTTGCACTCCTTTATATGTGAGAGAAATGAATGTACTTTTAAAGGAAATAAGCTTATATCCATTTAACAGTTTTTAACTATGCACCATGTAATGCATAGTTATAATAAGAGATAGGTTATTCTACCTACATTTACCTACCCCTCTACAACATCGTTAGATCAGAATCTAAAAAGGAGAGAGAAAGATAAATGTTAATTAAGATTCTGATCTAACAGTACAGTGTTGGAGAGTGATAAGCAAAAGTAGGTAGAATAACTGATCCCTTATAAATAAGAGGTAGGATATTTTGACTACCAATTTTTTCTACTACCATTCCACTACCACTTTAATCACCATTGGATTAAAAGTTATTTTTCTTTTCTCTCTCTTCATTCAACTTTTCCTCTAATCCAATGGTGATTAGAGTGGTAGTGGAGTGGTAGTAGAAAAAATTGGTAGTCAAAATATTCTAACCCTATAAATAATATTAAAGATATATTTTTTTCTCTCTTCCGAAGTTGTCTATTGACGAGGAAAGTGAAACTGCTTCTAAAGAAGGGATAGGTTATTTTACCTACTATTTTTTTCTACCTACCTTTGTCTACCACTCTCCAACACTGTTAGATCAGAATCTTAACTAACATTTATCTTTCTTTCTCTTATTGAGATTCCTATCTAACGGTGTTGGAGAGTGGTAGGTAGAATAACTTATCCCTCTAAAGAGAGAGACAGAAAAAAAAGATGAGACCCACACTTTTATTTATTTTTTTGTCTTTTTTTTAAAAAATGACACATTTTTTCACACACACACACACACACATATATATATATGAAAAAAATGTGTGTGTGTATGTGTTGGGGGGCAAAATTATTTTTACAACCACTTTATGTATAGCAGTGACAGGTGTATGGTTATGATCCCCACATTTATACTTTTACGTATATATGGCAAGTGTTTGACTATTGCACATAAAGCAACTGTAGAAAGAATGAGAGGCGATGGCAGAGAGAAAGGAAAAAATGGTTTATTTTATTCTTCAAATCTCCACCGTTGGATGATATTGTAATCTAACGGTATTGAAAGAGGTAGGTAAAGGTAGGCAGAATAACTTATTCCATATTATATATATATAATATGGGGCGGGATATTCTTACACCGGTGTAAGAGTTAGAAATCTTACACTCAATCTTGATCATTGATCCACTTGTATCCAATGGCTCACATTACTAAAAAATTAGAGCCCTTAAATATAAGTGAGATCAATGGATAAGATCTATGAAGCACCGACACTTTAAAAACTCTGACGTATCGTATCCGACACTTCTAATGGATAAGAGCCCTTAAATATAAGAGTTAGAAATCTTACACTCAATCTTGATCATTGAACCACTTGTATCCAATGGCTCACATTACTAAAAACTTAGAGCCCTTAAATATAAGTGAGATCAATGGATAAGATCTATGAAGCACCGACACTTCAAAAACTCTGACGTATCGTATCCGACACTTCCCGACACTCTCAGACACTCCGACACTCTCCGACACTCCAATACGCGTTATAGAAATTCAAAAAACAATTCAAAAGTTAAGTTGCGTTGAGTTTTTAGTTCCAACTATTAGATTCATTGAATTACGATTACCATTTTATTGAGTTTAATATAAATATTTGGGATATCTTATGTTTCTTTGCAAAATTTATGAATATTATAAATTTAGATACATTTTAGAATTAACGTGTCGGAGTGTCGTGTCGTATCGTGTCACGTGTTCCGTCTCAGTATCGGTGCTACATAGGATAAGATTGAGAGTGTAACTTACACTAGTGTAAAATGATCCTAATTCCTATATATATATGTGTGTGTGTGTCAATCTGGTGTCTAGTCACTCTCATATAATTATATATTTCGGTGAATACATAATTATAATATTAAAAAAAATTCCACGTCAATAGAAAAATTTACGAAGAGAAAAAAAATATTAATATTATAATCTTTGTGTGCATTTTTTTACTAAGAATCTATAATTATAAACAGGTTATATGTTACTAGTCTTGTATGTGTGTGTGACTAAGAATCTATAATTATGAGCTATGTAGCACCGATACGACACGCGACACGTGACACGACACGACACGACACTCCGACACGTCAATCCTAAAAAATTATGGATTTTGACACGTTGGGACACGTTTTAATATTAAATAATATTTTTAATTTATATAGTGTATTTTTCATTTAATATTTAATAATTTAACAAAAAAATGAAACTAAATTAATAATACCCATAAACACGTTATAAAGATGAAAGCTTTAATAAAAAAAATAAGAACTGGGATGAGAGAGATATAATATCAGATAGAGAGATCAAATCATATTAGAGAGAGATCAGAGAGAAGAAGATACAACAAGAGCGTGATAGGAATTGACAACAATGATGCTGAGATGATCTCTTATCTACTTAAGGGAAAAAAGACAAAAAGATAAAATTGATATGATCAGGTGGAAGCTTTTATTAATATATTTTAACTTTTTAAAAAAATAATTTTTTTTTAAAAAAAAATTAAAAAATTACGAAAATGCCATTTGACCGTGTCGGACACGGTCAAATTCGCGTGTCGGAATGGTCAACGTGTCGGAAAAAGTCAACCGCGTGTCCGACACCGTGTCGGAGCGTGTCGGAGCGTGTCGCCGTATCGGAGCGTGTCGGACCCGACTCTTCCTGTTTTTACAAGTGTCGGTGCTTCCTTGATTATGAGCAGGTTATATGTTACTAGTCTATTAATTGACCTGTATATTTAATTAATTAGTAATATTATTTTGGAAAATATTATAACCAAATAAGGAAATCACATTTACACGAAATAGAGATATATTAAATTGTAAATTAATATCACTAGTCTTACTTTTGGAAAATCAAACTTTTTTTTACTGGTTTTAAAAAATCAAACTTGATATAATTTTACGCATTATTGAATAACAAAAGTTTAATTTGGCTTGGAATTTTGGAGAAGTAATGTGATAGCAGGAACAACTTGGACGCTAATAAATGAAAATTTTATTCTACAGTTTGTGCTTGGAACCGCGTCCACATTCTTGTCTGCATTAGAAAAACGCACCGAATTCATTGTTCCCATTTGTTTTACCGAAGCGTTGTTTTCTTTGAATTTTTCTCTGGTTGTGAAAAACTTAACCTTATCCAAGATGTACAACGCTCGATCGTTTGTGCGGTGGAGCGTTTAGCAATTAGAATCATTATCCTTTTGTTGTTGTGGGGTTGTCTTTTGTGTTCTGAAGCATCCCAAATGGAACTGGCAACTGTAACAAACCAAAGAAGCATTGGGTAGTTAATAACTTGTACAAGTTGGAATTGGGCATGAAGGTTGCATGCTTCACCCCTGATGTTAATGTCTCATACTTGGGAACTCCAACAACAACAAGGTTTGGTTCACAGGAAGCTCTTTTCTTTATTCAAAAGTGTAGCAATTTCAAACAGCTTAAACAAGTCCATGGTAGAATAACCCGTTTTGGTCTCACCTATGACCAATTGCTTATTAGGAAGATCATTCAGTTATCTTCTTGTTTTGGCAAAATGAACTATGCAACTTTGGTATTTGACCAACTCAATGCCCCAGATACCTTCACTTGGAATGTCATGATTAGAGCTTATAGTATCAGTGGTTCCCCTGAAAAGGCCCTTCTTTTGTTCAAGGCTATGTTATGCCAGGGCTTTTCACCTGACAAGTTTACATACCCTTTTGTGATTAATGCTTGCGTGTCTTCCTCTGCCCTTGATTTTGGAAGAGTAGTCCATGCTTTTGCCATCAAAATGGGATTTTGGGGTGACACTTATGTGCAGAACACTATGATGAATCTTTACTTCAAGTGTGAGAATGCAGATGCTGGATGGAAGGTGTTTGATAAAATGCGTGTTCGACAGGTGGTGTCATGGACCACCGTGATTGCTGGGCTTGCAGCTTGCGGGAAATTGGACGCTGCCCGGGAAATATTTGAGCAGATGCCTTGTAAAGATGTTGTTTCATGGACAGCAATGATTGATGGGTATGTGAAACACAAGCAACCTGTTGAAGCTTTTGATTTGTTTGAAAGAATGAAGCTTGATAATGTGAGGCCAAATGAGTTCACTGTGGTGAGCTTGATCGGTGCTTGTACTGAGATGGGTAGCCTGAAGTTGGGTAGAAGGATTCATGATTTTGCTCTCAAGAATGGTTTTGAGGTTGGACCTTTCTTGGGTACAGCTCTTATAGACATGTACAGCAAATGTGGCAGTTTAAATGATGCAAGGAGAGTGTTTAATATGATGCAGGTGAGAAACTTGGCTACTTGGAATACAATGATCACTAGCTTGGGTGTGCATGGGTTGAGGAACGAAGCTCTAGCCCTTTTTGAAGAAATGGAGAAGGCAAATGTAGTTCCGGATGCTATCACTTTTGTAGGTGTTCTGAGTGCTTGCGTTCATATGAATCACCTGGAAGAAGGTCCGAAGTATTTCACTCTTATGACAGAACATTATGGTATAAAACCTGTTTTGGAGCACTATACATGTATAGTTGAACTCTATACTCGTGCTAATATGTTGGATGAGATTTACACATTAGAGAACACAATGTCAATGAAAGCAAATCATGATGTTGCAGAATTGCTCCAAGAGCTCAAACTCACTGATATTGATGACATAAAGAAACTTATACACAAGCATTATGGGGATTTGAATTTCTCGGAACTAGTTTTAGATCATTCCTCCACTAGTTCTCCACCTCAACTACAAAGCTTCAAGTGGGATGTTGCCTGATATGAACCAAACAAGTAGATGAATTGTGACTCTATTAACATTCTGTATCTCATGCTATGATGTCTTTCTCTGGGAGCTTTTAAGAGAAGCCTAAATACGACATAGCCAATAGGATGCCTCTAATTTTGTGTATAAAATGATACGGGAACCATGTTCTTCCCGAATGATTTTTAGAATATAATGACCTCAAATTGATCTTTAAATGATTATTGTTTGTCATGATTGATATTCAATTAGTGTTAAGAGTGCAATACTCTTAAGAACAGGACACGAAGAACAGAAGACACTTTTGTTTATTATTCAGATGAAAACACATATGAGCCATGTGTCAAAGCTTTATACAACCACATGTTTCTAACAAACTTTGCCACCTAAGCTAACTAACTTGCCACCTCCCTTTACAAGGCTAACTAACTCCCTTCAAAGCAGTAACTCAAAGCAGTAAACTAACTCAAGTAAGATAAACTAATTACACACCATTACATGGTTACAAAGTCCTTACTCCATAAAGGAGCACTCTTGATTCTACTTCCCTTAACCGTATCATTCGTCCCTGCTTGCAAAGGAACCTTGTCCTCAAGGTTCATATCCGGATATTGCAACTTCAAATCTGCTTCATCTTCCCATGTAGCATCTTCGGGTAAGGCATCAGACCACTGGATCAACCATTGTTGTTTCTGTTCTGTCTTGTTGCTGATAATTCGAGACATCAACATAGCTATTGGATGTTGAACAGGAGAATTGCCATGAGTGAGTATGGGAAAGGTAGGAACCAGGTCCTTGTGATCACCCCTAAATGGCTTCAGAACAGAAACATGGAAAGAAGGATGAATTTTGCATCCATCAGGTAGCTGGAGCTGATACGAAACTGGGCTCAAGACTCTAGTAATAGGAAAGGGACCAAAATATCTCTTGGCCAATTTCTGGTTAGACCTCTTAACCAAAGAAATCTGTCGATATGGTTGAAGTTTTACCAAAACTAAATCACCAACATTCAAGGTGATGTCCTTCCTGTGCCTATCAGCCTGGATCTTCATCCTGTTTTGAACTTCTTGCAAATGCTTCCTCAAATTGTGCAGCAACTCATTTCTGTGAGAGAGTGTGACATCAACAGCCTCCACCCAAACTGAACCTTGAGGATAATAAGGAATCATGGTAGGTAGTTTGCCATACAAAGCTTGGAAATGAGATATTCCAATAGAAGAATGCACAACAGTGTTGTAATGTAATTCTGCCCAACTCAAATAAAAGGACCATCTATTGTTCTCATCATGACAGAAGGCTCTGATGTACTGCTCCAAATAACGGTTGGTGACTTCAGTTTGTCCATCAGATTGTGGATGGTAGGAGGTGCTGGTTCTAAGTGTGGTGCCACTATGTTTGAAGAGTAAGGACCAAAATTGACTCAGAAAAATGTTGTCTCTGTCAGAAACTATAGACTTTGGAAATCCATGAAGTTTTACAACTATATCACAGAATAAAGAAGCAACTTTGGATGCTGTATAAGGGTGAGCTAAAGCTCCAAAGTGTGCAAATTTGGTTAATCGATCCACAACCACTAGAATTACTGAAAATCCTTTAGAAAGAGGCAAACCTGTAATAAAATCCATGGTCAAATCCTCAAATACTCCTTCTGGTATAGGCAGGGGTTGGAGCAAACCAAAAGGAGGTGTGGTAGCTGTTTTGATGAATTGACAAACTGAACATTGTTTCACGAAGGCGGTAACATCCTTCCTCATGTTGACCCAATAAAAAAAGGCAGATAGACGCAATAAGGTCCTAGTAATGCCAGCATGTCCCCCAACAGGTTTAGCATGAGCCTCATGGATCAACAGTTGGCAACGTTGAGAATTAGATCCCAACAGAAATCGATGTTTATGATACAAAATTCCTCCCCTTTCTGTGATATTGGAATCAATGTGCTCTCCATTTGTAATTTTCAAATGTAATGCTAACAGATCAGGATCTGAAGTATTTTCATCCTTAATTTGATTAACAACATCAAATGAAACTTGGGTGATTAAGGACAAAACATTACCTGGAGTTTCCTCATCCTCATCCCTTCGAGATAATGAATCAACAACAATATTAGAGATTCCCGATTTATACTCTATTGTATAATCATATCCCATCAACTTACACATATATTTCTGTTGTTCCAAAGTTTGAATGGTCTGAGATAAAAGTTCTTTCAAACTTCTATGGTCAGTCTTGATGATAAACCTGGAGCCTAATAAGTAATGTCTCCATTTCTTTACAGCTTCAGTAACAGCATAGAGCTCTCTCACATAAGTTGAAGCCAATCTCATCCTGGCTCCCAGCTTCTTGCTAAAATAAGCAATCAGATTGTTCTGTTGGATCAGCACAGCTCCAATTCCTGTGGCAGAAGCATATGTTTTGATGATGAAATGCAAGGAAAAATCTAGTAGTGCTAGAATGAGAGTGGAAGTCATAGTTTTTTTTAAAAAGCAGAAAGCTTCCTGAGCACTATCATTCCAAACAAAGGAATCAGCTTTTAGAAGGTCAGTAAGAGGAGATGCCAAAGCTGCATAATGTTGAATGAATCTCCTATAGTAGCCAGTAAGTCCAATGAATCCCCTGAGTTGTTTAACATTCTTGGGTTGAGGCCAAAGTAGCATGGCAGTAATCTTTTTAGGATCTGCCTTCACTCCCTCTCTTGACACTATGTGACCCAAGTAATCAATCTCAGATAAGGCAAATCCACACTTGCTCAACTTGACCATGAATTGATTCTGCTGCAGGCATTCCAATGTGACCCTTAAATGCCCTAAATGATCCAGAAAAGATGAACTATAGATCAATATGTCATCAAAGAAGACTACGATGAATTTCCTCAAATATGGCTTGAACATTTGATTCATGGCTGATTGGAAAGTTGATGGTGCATTGGTTAATCCAAATGGTAATACCAAAAACTCATAATGTCCTTCATGGGTTCGAAATGCAGTTTTAGGAGTGTCATGTGGAACTAACCGAATTTGGTGATAGCCACTCCTTAAATCCAATTTGGAAAAAAATTCAGCACCCTTCAATTCATCCAAGAGCTCATCAATGGTGGGAATGGGAAAGCAATCCTTGATAGTTATATTGTTTAAAGCCCTATAATCAATACACAACCTCCAAGAATTATCTTGCTTCCTTACCAATAATACAGGAGAAGAGAAGGGGCTATGACTTGCCTTAATGAAACCCGAAGCTAAGAGGTCAGCCACCTATTTCTCAATTTCAGTTTTCTGATGGTGAGCATACCTATAAGGTTTCACACTTACTGGTCTAGCTCCTTCCACCAGGTGAATAGCATGGTCACAATCCCTTGAAGGAGGGAGACCTTGTGGCAACTGGAAAACAGATTGATATGTCACCAATATGTTCTACACCTCAACAGGAACTTGTTTCTGTATTGACAGCAACTCAGGGAGCAATGCATTAGTAGAATTTACAGTTGGTGAAGTTGCTAAATAAGAACAAGCACCATCTGACTTGTTGGGCTCAATCTTCTTCCTAGCCCCAGATAAAATAACCCTTTGCTGATTCCAAATAAACTCCATGGACATATCACTGTAGTCATGTATCACCCTGCCTAAGGAGCTGAGCCAAAGAATTCCCAAAATAATTCCCAAGTTGAACAGTTCAATCACCCATAAATCCACTACAAACACGTGTCCTTGTATCTCCAAAGAAACTGATGGGCATTTCCTTTCACAAATTAGAAAATCTCCATTACCAAGGAATACTATCATCCTAGGAATTTTAACCATAGGATATCCCAAATCTTCATCAATGCTCTTTTGCACAAAATTATGAGTGCTACCCGAATCTATGAGGATGGAAACTAACCTCTTCCCAACTAAAACTTGGAATTGCAAGGCTCTAGGATTTAGTTCCCCTTCCATGGAATGAAGAGCAGCATCATGAATTTCTGACTGAGCTTGATCTGGCTGCCACACTATCTGTTCTTCTACATCAGCATCCAATTCCTCACAATCCCCTACCAACATCAACAGCTTAGCCTTGCAACGATGTTTGGAAGTCCATTTGTCATCACAAGTATAGCAAAGACCCATATCTCTGCATTTTTGCAAATATTCCTGAGATACTCTCTTGACAGGAACATTAGAAGGTAGAGCTAGTAAGGAAGGTAATCCAGGCAATCCTGGTTTCACTGGAGTTGCAGAAGTGGTGTGTTCCACAATTGAAACTGGTTTAGGGAAGTACTTCTTGTTAGTATAAGAAGTAAAAGAACCCCTGAGTTCAGCAAAATGAGTCTCATATGTAATGGATAATTGCATAGCTTGATGGAGAGTGGTTGGGCTATGAAGTTGAATTGCTCTCTTTAATTCTGGTTGTAAACCAGAAACAAAGAAACTCATCAAGACTTCATTTGAGAAATCAGTTACTTGATTGATCAAAGCTTCAAAATCCCTAATATACTCATTAAGAGCTCCCACCTGAGACAGTTTGGACAAAACTCCACGCAAATCAGTATAGGTTGTGCCACCAAATCGTTGTTTCACAGCCAGCTTCAATTCTTCCCATGAATGGATGGTACCACCATTGAACAGCCATTGAAACCACGGTCCTGCCATGCCATCCATCTTCATCCCTGCCAATCGAACCTTCAAAGATTCAGGAATTTGATGTAGACCAAAGTACAGCTCTGTGCGAAAGATCCATCCAATTGGGTCTGTACCCACAAATGAGGGAAGTTCCATTTTAATAGACCGCATGATGTTCCTTGGATCATTCAGATCATACCTTGCATGTAATCCACCAGCAGTATCAGTACTCGAAGAACCTGGTTGAACTCGATTTTGTACTTGCTCCTCTGTGCGATTTTCTCCACCCACGATGACTGCATGTATCTGCTGTAACTGAGTGTTGAGGGATAAGAACTAAGATTAATGATCGGTGAACCTTTGTTGAATCTCCTCCAAAGTCTGATCGACACGCTGTTGAAAGGAACCTAGTTCCTCCGCCACCTCTTGTAGCCGCATGTTGCAACCGGAGAGTCAAGAATGAAAGCACCAATGTTAAGAGTGCAATACTCTTAAGAACAAGACACGAAGAACAGAAGACACTTTTGTTTATTATTCAGATGAAAACACATATGAGCCATGTGTCAAAGCTTTATACAACCACATGTTTCTAACAAACTTTTC